TTGACTAAGCATATAACCGCCTACATATACAACATGCTTCCATTCATGTGCAGTGTTATTGTCTGTTATTGCCTGGGCTCCACGTCCGATACTCATTGACCGTAGAGTCCTTCACAGTTGACTAAATCGCTCAATCTCCTACCGGTCAAGCAACACCTAAGGAATAGGATAAACGACTTCTACTGGTATAGTTGCATCGAACAAACCTTTCACAGATTACCGTTTCCACTGAACTCCCTTACATCCCCATTGAAACATTTCAGGCATGCAAACTTTCTGCATTTACTCTCTTTTGCAGCCTTCGGAATTGCCAGCAATGCATTTCGGTCCCCACAACATCTGGGTTATCTGAAAGTTATTCGTTGTGAACCCACGCCACCGACCACACACGGACAAACGACAAACGGACAGATAGGCAGTTGCGGTCACTCTGGGACACTCACTCACACCTACACGCACAGAAGTCCACACATACACACATACATACATAGATATAGGAAAACAGGAAGAACACTGGCACACGTCATCGGTGACCGTTTCAACATGGAATGTCCCGTCGCACCCACTGATCACCCCTACTCAGACCATCGGAGCCAGCGGTGACCATCAACCGAGGAGTGAACAGACGTTCTGTGAAATCATGCAATGAGTCTTCATCACCGATCACTGTCTATTGTTTCACTGCAGTATCTGTTGAAGTACACATACAAGTGCATTCCTTCTCTCTATTTCACAGACACACATACGTGCGCACGAGCGTGAGTGCATAAAACGCCAAGGGTAGGTGTGCACCGACTGGTTTGTGGACTACTCCGTGCTGTATTTGATTCTGGTCTAGTGAAGGTGCGTGTGCATGGGTTGTGTGTGAGGAGACCAGTATAGTAGTGTGACTGTTGCCGGGGGAGTGATGAAGTTTGATGGTGAGGTCAGCCAACGGGGATGTAGCTCAGTGGTAGAGCGCTCGCTTCGCATGTGAGAGGTCCCGGGTTCAATCCCCGGCATCTCCATCCCGATAGTAGTGATAAGTGGTGGCGGTTTTGACAACATTACCCACCACAACCACAGCCACCTCGTATCCGATGCCCGCCTCACCATACTGCATGGCGTATTGGCGGCATCCGGACGAGTGAGTGCAGGTCCCGCTGGCACGGTGTCTCGGTGTTCAGCACTGCTCTGTCGACAGACCGGCCGGTGGTCTGAAGCCGTGCCTCGGATTGCACACTAGCAACAATCATCTGTCGGTGGGGACGATCGGACGGTGGAGTGTCATACAGACGGTGTCGGTATCGGATGCCACTCGGTCAACTATTCAGTCACCCTCTCAGGGCGACACGACGCCGCCGCCCACCACTGACGTCACCCAACAAACACAGATCACCGACTGACGACTCTACACCACATTAGTCCCATCATGTCTATAAACGTGAGCAGAACCAGTACCGCATCCATCGGGAATACCTGCAATACCGACAATGACACCGACAAAAATAACGCAGCAGCACAAATAAGAACACCTCAATCACTACCACTGTCTACTATTAAATAAGCTTGATCATGATGAACACGGTCACCTTGCATCTGCAGACCTCACTGGTAGTCAGCATCAAGCTGTGGCCACCTCTGAGACACTGACGACACCAAACACACAGCGCACACACACACTTTCTCAGAACCTGATGTTGACATTTTAATGACGTTCACCACACTATCCATGACTTACACACCCATGAACCATGGATCCAAGCCCTCTCGACAATTAGCCACATGCATAGGATATACCGAACAACATTTGCACATCCTCCAATCTAGGCGACTTTAAATGCCACCCTAACAACGGTCGAAGTAATCAACTAGGTTTCTCCATTTTGGCTGGAAAGGCAGATTTTCATAAAATAGAGAAGTCTAATTGGTTATTTCAGTTGCTGCTAGGATGGCTTATAAAGTCTACCTCCAATCTCCACTTACACAACACTCCTCCCCGTATCTCGCATCATGATCATCCGTGTCTCCATCAAGCTGGTGAGTCACCACGCTTCACTTGGAATAACACCATCTAACACTGAGCGCGATGGTGTAGGCAGGAGTTGTGACGGCACACCTGAAAACCCTCTATCCCCTTCATCCCATTCCATTCGACCCCACCACATCTGATTCAATTCAATACAATTCAATCCGATTCCATTATAATATTCAATCCAAGTGAAGTCAGTTCGGGTCATTTATGTTTAGGAAGAATGGCTGTTTCTCAAGTCGGTCATCCACTCGCGTGTTCCTTGTGTCACATACTCGTGTACATGGTTGTTCAGAAAACTAACTTCACATTCATTGTCAGTACTCACCTCACGTTTCTCAAGGTATGCTTACTCCCCAGTTTTGTCTTATCCTCTACTAATAATCATTCCGTTTTATATCGATCTTCATCTTCTACATGCGCATATTGTAAAACCAACGATGTGTGTGTGTATTTCCAATCCACATTCTATACTGCCTATCTCCTTCAATACCTCCATGCCTCTCTTCCTACTCTCATCAACACTCCCAACAATTTTTGAAACCGAATGTCCCATACACATTCTACGAACATTTCAGGTAGGTGTGTCGAGACCACTGAAACAACATGATATTCGATTGAACTGTATGAAACTCTCTCTCCTGAATACCTCCTCGCTGATATTCTACATCTCCAGTGATGAACACATACACCTTGTTTGTGGACAATATCAATTCTCATGTCAGAATTGACTAAGCATATAACCGCCTACATATACAACATGCTTCCATTCATGTGCAGTGTTATTGTCTGTTATTGCCTGGGCTCCACGTCCGATACTCATTGACCGTAGAGTCCTTCACAGTTGACTAAATCGCTCAATCTCCTACCGGTCAAGCAACACCTAAGGAATAGGATAAACGACTTCTACTGGTATAGTTGCATCGAACAAACCTTTCACAGATTACCGTTTCCACTGAACTCCCTTACATCCCCATTGAAACATTTCAGGCATGCAAACTTTCTGCATTTACTCTCTTTTGCAGCCTTCGGAATTGCCAGCAATGCATTTCGGTCCCCACAACATCTGGGTTATCTGAAAGTTATTCGTTGTGAACCCACGCCACCGACCACACACGGACAAACGACAAACGGACAGATAGGCAGTTGCGGTCACTCTGGGACACTCACTCACACCTACACGCACAGAAGTCCACACATACACACATACATACATAGATATAGGAAAACAGGAAGAACACTGGCACACGTCATCGGTGACCGTTTCAACATGGAATGTCCCGTCGCACCCACTGATCACCCCTACTCAGACCATCGGAGCCAGCGGTGACCATCAACCGAGGAGTGAACAGACGTTCTGTGAAATCATGCAATGAGTCTTCATCACCGATCACTGTCTATTGTTTCACTGCAGTGTGGATTGCACTGTATGAAACTGTCTCTCCTTAACCCCTCGTCACTGGTTTTCGACATCTGTATGGATAAATCTTTATGCCTGATATTTTCAAGGTCTTTTTCTAAAGACGGGAGCATTAGTTGAGTATTTGTGAGTGAGGTTTTTTTCTGTGAACGGAAGGGATTATCGGTGTGTTTGTTTCTGTTGATCGTGTGTATGGGTGTGTATATAATTTCATTTTTTTTGCGATAGCTTCTCTTGTAGGCTGTAGCGTGTTCAATTTCCCTCAGTTGTGGATCAGTTGTTTCTTTACGAAGGTAGCCTTTAGAATGATCTCACATCGAGTTCCTTGTGGTTTGGTTAATGCAATATAGACGTGTTGCTAAAGATTTCTATCTTTTGTTTCGGATTTGTTGCGTGGTTTTTGTTTTCGGCTATATAGTAATTTTTCTGAATTTTAGGTTATTTTCTGTGGGTGTCATTCATTGTTATTCGTTTTGCCTTGTTAGGTCACAGTTTCTTAACTTTATCGGGAAGTTTATTTGATATGATTGAGAAATTTTATTTTCATATCATAGAATAAGGTAGAAATCGCCTATCTCCTCGAAAATTGTCCATTGTATATTATACTACTCGCAAGTAGTCCATATGTGATTCAGAAATGAAACGGTAATCAGTTATGTGAGTGATTGATTGAGGTCATTGAAATGTTTAAAAAGTTAGAAGAATCACTGAGAAAGAATGTTGTAACTGTATTTCTTACTTCAGTGATAGATAAGCGCAAATGAATGCAACAAAATTGACTTGAGATGTTTGTTAGGCTGTGAAAATTCTTTGAGGTGGAAAGGAAACATGAAAAATGGCCTACTCTTGTGCATTTACCATGGCATATTTCAAAAGCTATGAGCAGAAATGTGAATGTACAGTTACTAGGGTAAAGTGTTTGGAAAACAAGTGATTGTATTTGTAGTATAGTTTTACAAACGTAATCAAAGATAAATTTATTTAATAACTTTCAGAAAAGGGATACGTTGAATTTTCTACCTTGCTTTCTGGAAAAAGAGGCGTTATGTAACCTCATGCACGTGTGTAAAAAATTCTAGAGGAACTGGTTAAACAAATAGGTCAGTGGTTTGAGTTGAACTGCTTTATGTATTACAACAAAATGCATGAAAACATCTCCCTGCCTTAAAGAATAAGATTATTCTAAAAATTGCCTTAATCAGTTTTTTATTCTAACGTCTTTTCTGATAGCCAGGCAGTGCACTTCCGGGAATCCTACACATTCGACAGAAACTGCATAACAGTTTTGCGCGGATGAAACTGACTTTATGTGAAGTAAGAAGAAAGTAATAAACTGTCATCCAGCTGTCTAATTCGAGTGAAATAAAGTCATTCAAAAGGCAAACGTCTTGTTTAGTGGTTTGGAATCAAATAAAAAAGTATGTTTTCACTCCACATGCCTTATCTATGGACAATTTTAATGAAATAAAAGAGTAAACTCAATAAAGTTTCTATTCAGAATTTACTACTGTTAAAAAAAAACAAATATATGCAGAACAAGAACATACTTTGCATAAAAGTGACAAATTTTTAGCTCTCCTTTTTTTGAAACTTTACACTACCATTGTCATTATCCCGCCTCCCATAACCATAATGAAGCATATTTTTATTTGATTTCAAATACAATTGATTTGTGACCAAAGTCAAGTCTAAATCACTTAATAGAGGAATTATTGGTAGTTCTTTTGAATAATTACTTCTTGCCGATAAACTGGAACCATTCAAATGTTGATTTGTGTGACAATCATCTGTTTAATTCAAATTATATATTGCATACTGATTTATTAAAATAAATAAACATATTGTCAACAAATACGATTACTAAAACAGAAGAAAATGATTCTGTGCTCATGATGTGCTGAAAAAAAAGTCTATTCGTAATCCGACTTGGTTAGCAGACTCAAATATTATAAAAGAATAATGACTGTAGAGATTTTATGTACGATGAAATATTCAGTGGGTATATCAACAAGAATTAACAACCAATCAGTTTAAAGCACCATTTTAACCGCCTACGTGGAAGAAAAACTTAGGATGAACAAACGCAGACATGTCATTACATTAGGAATTTATTGGTTTTTGAACTGAGTTGCATAAGATCAAGGCCCATGAGATAGTTTTCATGAAATGAAGGGGATTAAGGCTTGCTTGCAGCTGGAAATGAACCTTGGAAAGAGAGAAGCACTTATCCTTGAGCTTTCTCAAAACACTGGACATCTTAATGCAGTGTGAATGAACATATATGTATAGACAAGTCATAGCTTTATCCATGACACATCCTGCAAACGCATATTCAAAAGTGTATTTGTTTGCCCTTAAATCCTTCAGAAGTTTAGTCGCTTATACATTAAGAAAAGGTTTGTCATTGCACTGAACCTATCTCAGTAACTTTTTTGATATAAAGGACTACTGATAAATACTTGTGTTACTATTTCTATGCGACTTGACTACCTATTTAACAATCTGACTTTTTATATGCTGTTTATTTTTGTGACACTTTAGAAATATTATTCAACCGCTTAATATATTCGATTTTCGGGTTATCCTGTCTTTTGTTTTGTACCATGTTGGACGTTCTGGATCGCTTACTAAACGTCAGCTTAACCAGTGTAGCTGTCGAGTATTGAGCACTTAGCACTAAGCAAAGTTCATCGACCACATTTGCAATGAGACCATTATGCCAACCGAAGTGGTAGTACAATGCACTATATTTTCATGACACATTTTAAGAACCGTTTAGCAGATTTAAATAGCTTGCCGGTAAGCTAATTGAATTTGGCACTGAGTGATGCGGGTTCGAGTAGCGGAGGAGGCATCAATTTCCCGATCCATGCAAACACATCTGGCTGACGGGTGTCAATAAGTATGAAACATGGGTCCAGGACTTGCTGTCAATTGACTTCAAACATTTAACGCCAAGATTAGCTTTAGTGCACTTCGCGTGTTTTCAAAATTATCAGCTCACATTTCGGTCTTGTCTTTTATTACAGATTCTGCTACCAGTTGAATGAGCCACTGCCGTCAATCATACACTAATTCACCTTCACGTCCCCTTTCATCAACATTCCTATAGGCTAGACAAAAACCGATGAACGGATGGTAGTTATACTTTCAAATAAATATCTGCGACAGGTATGTACATGGTCAGAATGTTGAAAATATAACGCGCTAATCAGCTACATGGTCTAAATAAGTTTATTGTTGCCATATTCAAAATTCCTAACAGAAACTGAACTAAAACATAAAGGTGTGTAGTGGAGAGCAAATATAATGCACAATATTAGGCACTCAAAGGCAATAATCAGGAAACTCTGTACCTAAACTTCGCTCTTGGCTTCAATCTTCAGTAAAGCGTATGTTCAACTTCATAAGAACTGATGCCTCATCAGAGAAATACAGTGCAACTGACAGGAAGTGGCCAAATATGGCAATCAACGTTCAAGGTCATCAACCGCTGGGGTAGAAGTGTCGTTCCAAATTTTGATTAATATCTGTATATGGACGAATGACTTTATTGAACGATTCAGTAGCCAATAAGATTGTGTTCTGTCTTTGATACATGACATTTTTTATGTGTGGGAACTGTATATATATGCTACAGTTTATCAAATAGAGCTGTTGTTGTTGTCCTTGCAGTCACAGGTCAGCCTCTGTCTTCTGATATTTGTGTGACTCAGTGAAGAATAAGGGGGTGAAGGGGAATAGTCATATTGGCATTCAGTTCTAGCATACCACTGAGTTCAGTATCGTTATTATCTACGTCTATATTCCACTCCGTCACTTCAACAGCAGACAAAGTTGCTAATACTAAACTTTCTAAGAACCAGCTAATCTTTGCTAGGACTGGATAAAATATTCTGATATGTGAGTAACCGATACGCAATGACTCATCGATTTGTAGAAAATGAAAAAATTACCTATTTTTTTTACTATAAAGAATGAGAGGAAAGCATTGCTCTTAAAAATATAAATTTACCTTTAATTTGATAAATGGATGTAAGTGGTTGCATGAGCGATCTGTTATTCCATGTGTAGGCAAGAAGTCCAACTGTAGATAAAATAAGCGCCGATATTGGCGCAGTGACTGCCCAGTATCTGAAACATTCATCAGTTCATAATTATAACTGCCTAAATTGTTTCCATGTCAAGAGATTATTTGGATACGAATAAAATTTTAACAAACTTAGTAGATTGTAATTCCATCTTAGTCTGTTTATTAGATGGGTCACACAACTAAACAACAGTATTAATAACTGCATAATGTTTCGGACATCACTAATTGTCCATATTCATATCAGGTGATTATTTGTAGGTGCAGCGACATCTAAAGAAGAAACATTCCTTATGGAAACTAAATACTTCTATGGGGATAAATTAGTGAACAAATACATAACCTGATAGAAACAGTAACACTTAAAGAAACTAGCCTAATCGTATGTGTGCTGTTAAGCTATAAAAGGTTCGATTCAAATGAGAAGTGACTGGCGAAGAAAACGATATCTTCTCGTCACATCTGCCTATACCTCAAATGAATGCAACCCAGAATTTTGTCGTCAACTGAGTGACCTCTTCCAGGTGCACGTGACAGGTATCTTATTGCCAGCTGGGGACTTAAAAAGCATAGGTCAGGCGTCTAGACGCAGAGCAACGTTGCCTAAATGATAAACATGAACTATTCAGTTGCAGGTAAGATAATGGCGAACGTTTTCTGTAGCTTTGCGCAGATGATTACTTATTTCTAGAAAGCAACAAACACCGAATCACCAGAAGACTCCATATGCCACTCGAACCTACACTCAACTACATCATATTATGTTACGGTGTCCATTATGATTATCTAGATCCCTCATAGAAGCTCAGAGATCTCCGAAATACTTCGGAATATTATATATATATATATATATATATATATATATATATATATATATATATATATATATATATATATATATATATATATATGACTATTACACTTTATATATAGCTTTGACACTTGTAATACATTTTCTGAAGTCTTACCACTTTTTCTACTTTTTGAGGAATTAAGTGAAGGCTATCGTACAGGTTTTCACGGGTATATATTGTTATACCATATTGCAATTGCCTCCTTACGATGTGCGTGTTCAGAACTGCCGCTCCTTGTGAAGCAGCCGTCCAGATAATGGTCATACTTTAGTGTGTGCTAACCTAATTTTAGCGCTCTGGCAGTCATCAAAATCATAGTTTTAAATGCCTTGATGCAAACAGACGGGTTGTGCATAGCATTGCAGCTAAATAAAAAACCAAGATATATTCACGGCTACCTGTCGAGACTTAAGAAAGTATCAATGAATATTGGCTACATTTAAAAGACGCCGTTTGTGGCTTTGAAGAAAAAACCACCAATAAACATTGAGTCTTTTAAAAGTTTCTTTCAACTTCGATCTATTTCGAGACAGTAGTTACAACGGCATACGTACATCTTATATATGACAGATCAAACAGCATCTGAGTAAGGATCACCACGCCCTGTAGTTAGAATGTAACAGTGGAGGCAGAAGTTGAATCTAACACTAAATGCAAACTATTCTAGATCATTTATGTCACTGGAAGAAAGGAAGAAGCTTGATGTCATGGAAACAATCTGTGAAGTAAATGGTATAATGATTACTGTAGACGTCTGGAACACTGGGCGGAGCCCTTCGAAATACAAACCACCTGTTCTGCTACGCCATCAACTTCGACTTCAACGTTTTGTGTACTTTGTTTAGTTAACACCAGACATCCAAAAAAAAGGAAATCAGTAAAGAACTCCAAGTTCTAAAGCATCAAAACGAATCTAATCCAGACAACTTAGTCCAGGTTCCTACTAAGAGTGGAGGTGATAATGTAGTTAGGGAACTGACTATATTGCTTGAAGGGGTACGGCAGACTGGGAATGTTCCATTTTTTCATGAAAGGTCTACAAAACGTATGTGATAACCACCTATGTATCACTTTGCTGCCAGCAGCGTTTCGAGTAGTGGTTGCTCACATACTTAGCAGGCTGTATAAAACGCGTGGAAAATTGATCCACAAGGAGCAGACTTGCTTTTGTTCAGGTCGTGGATGGATTGATTACGCGTTCGCCTTCCGTTCAACAGTTGGACACCGTCACACATATTGAGAACCAATAGTCGTTGTATTTATATTGCAAGATAAATCTCTGTGTTTCTCGATATTTGTTGGATATAGTCATGCTAGGGAATTGTTTGTTAAAGAGGTTTATTTCAGAGTATTTTGTTAACATCTTGAAATGTCTTTAGCGAAACAATTAAGGTGAAGTGAGAGCACATAGACACTTTTCCTTGTTATTTTAAACCAACAATGGGATCAGAGAGGGTTGTCTCATGTCACCACTTAACTTTGTCACTGATGATGTTTCCGAGACAAAATCGAATCAAACGAGTGGTGATGTAGACCTATTAATAGATGAAAAACTTTTCGACCTCCATTATGCATACCACATCGTTTAACTTTTTGACAAAATGCACGCTACTTGAATCGCATTCAAACAGTTAGCAAACAGTGTATAGCACTGCATAAACCACCAGCGAACGGCAAGAGTTTGTATGTGCACTTACCCTTAGTGGTGAACCCTCAGAAGCTGTCGAAATTTTATGTACCTGCGTAATGTTTTCCAGTACACGTGTGGTTGACGAGATTTTCAAACGTATATCGAGAGCTAGGGGGGCATACGCTAATCTGGAGCACCTTTGGCGTCATCACGAATATAAGTTCGCTGTAAATGTCGCGTGTACAACATGTAGATGTGGACAGTTTTGTTCCATCTCTGTGAAACCTAGCCTTTCTGGGCTGAGGATTTTCGATGACTCTACGAACCTGATCATCATCTCCGTAAGATTTCTAGCATCCAGCAGAAACACAATGTGATTAGTTTTGAGATGAAGTGAAGCTTAGGAGTGATGGATATCGTCGTGCATTGAGTACAGTCAACTGGAAACAAAGGCTTTGGTGGCTTGGACGTGTATTATGAACATCATCTACCTGGTTTTTAGATCGTTTGATCTGGGATCGCTGGGAAGAAACGGAAAGGTAATCAATGAATGAGGTGTAGCTATAAGTTTGAGGACAGTTGTGGTGGATTAGCATATATTGGCACCTCAAAACTCTCTGGATGGAGTGTGAGAGATCACGCAACTCATAAGCCTGAGGTGACAACAGAGATGGTTTAGTATTGAAACCAATTGCAAGTATACTTCAAATTTCTTGTTTCAAACACTACCGAAAAGCAAAACGAAAGTAGTTAGTGCTTCTTTGAATGCACCATTAAAAACTTCACTAATAAACCATACCTGGTTTGTCTTTAAACTCTTTTGGTATCACTTTTATGTCTTCTTAGTGTTATAGCATACTTCGTATGACATATCTTTTGGTGCCCAAGTGGTACCAAGTATATGTTTTAGATAAATAAGAAAATAGGTAAGTAATCTATCTAGTGAACGACAGTTCCACATAGAAGAGTTATAGGACTTATACTAAGAAATAGGTCATATATATATATATATATATATATATATATATATATATATATATATATATAATATTATATTATATTATATTATATTACATTATATTATATACCGAGATAATAAAGCTAAACTAACAGCAAATGTATATGTAGTACTGCAAGTGATCACTCTACACTAGTTTAGATAAACAATCAATCAGACTTACTCCTCTAAATAGTCTACTCGTAATTGCGTGGTACCTTAAACAGTTAAAGTACAATCAAATAGGAGCCGCATAAATAAGTGCATATCTAAATGGATTGACTTCTTTGAAACTAGTTTCTGTGTTAATTAGTGAATGTAATTAAAGCAACTAGCATAAAAGGAAAATAAATAACTTAGTAAAATGTACAAGAAAACATGTACCCTCGCAGTTCCAAAGAAACACAGAAAACAAGCCGAAGTAGGACATTTGGATCTGAATGAACTGTAGATAACTGATGTATTATTGATAAGAAACTACGTAAATATATCAACAGTGAAATGCACATCTGTTCGGTTGGGTGCGTCAAAACAGCGAATCTTAAACACAAAAATATGAGCCCATTGTGACAATATGAATTGCTTTATTTCAATGGTAGGTTATCATCTTATGTATACGATAAGATAAAATCATACTAGTGAACTGCGTAAAAGACGGTAGCCATCATGACTAAGATGCACCTTTTTAACCTGGTTTATATTGTCACAAAGGTTAAACTACTTAATCGATCTACCCATCTATTTTAATTAGTTAGGCATGAAGAAATATAGAGACACTGAAACATTTTGATGCATGAAATCAGTATGTTTTGTTTGCATGAAATTATTGAGAGGACCATCATAGTTCGGTGTTACCCAAGCTCGAACACTGAACAACCATCACCAGGCGAATTATTTGGATTTTTGATCCCAGGACTTAAAAGTAAACTTTTTACCAACATCTGATAAGATCACACTTTAAGAACTTAAATACTGTCTTCGTTTGACGTTATATATCTGCAGTCAATTGAATAGAAAACTCTAAGCCTAGTTCTCACGATTGTAGGTGCTTAGGACTCAACAACTACATTTCTTATCAATCAATGATTAATTTGCGTACATTTCATTGTTACCATTATCAATACACTAATGGAAAACATGTATTAACAAATGAGAAGTAATGTATACTACAGCTATTTTCTTTATCAACAATCTATTCTTCTGGAAGACTGGAAATGTGACAAAACCAAGACCATATAGATATCCAGAATGCCAACAAAACATGAATTAAAGAGACAAAATTCCTGACTGACACGAATAAGGACACAGTTCAGTTTCAAAATGAGTTCAAGAGCAATCTTTCGCAAACTACTCCGGTCTCTGTGGGAAAGTCAACTTACTTTGAACCTAACACCTTTCCCTAAGTAGATTCATCACAGAACAAATAGAACTTGATTACACACTTTTTAGTTGATCCACCTTTCTGAGAGAAAAACTAAACATGGAGTACTCACAAAAACACTTCTATGTGAATAAATAATGATATTACAACCTAGACTGATACACGTCCATATACTAGGCTATTATTAGTCGCACCTGTCTGGAAACTTCTATAATACTACTCAACAACACAAATCGAAATAGGTAAAGTGGATTTTAAACACGAAACCTATCACCTAAAAGTCAAGCGTTTGAGTAAATATACCATATCTCTCTACTTACGAGAACACTAAATTCATTTCGAAGCATATCCACATTTCAAGAAAGCTAGTGTTACTTGTTTAACTGAGTAGGAATGGTAAAACAAGGAACTAGCTTAAATGAAAGACTGACTTGGTTCTAAATGAATTTGTGTTCAAAAGCTATGACTTGTAACATATATAAACCAGTCAAAAATTAGGATGGTCACAATGAATGATGATCGTATTGCTTAACAAACTAGTCTCAGTAGGAAACCTGAACTACCGTCTTTGGCTTAGTGAAAAAATAACAATATATTCGCCGTGAAACCTTGACGTCATCCGTTCGGTCTCAGGAGGTCACACATGTACAGCATACAGGGTAAAAAAGCTAACCATATCTTAGTGGTTTCTCCCGAATCAATCAGTTTCTATACATGATGCACATGAATAGTTTTGAAATCATTCTAATATACAACAAATCAATCAGAAAAAACTATTTGAAATCAGGATTTTTGAATGTTTCACCTTTATTGTGGGTTTTTCAGTAGTAAGAATACTTCACTTAGTAAGAAGTTGGAACCAGCGAACCGGTAATTAAAATACAAGTCGGTGGGTTCTAAAATAATGGTCGCAAAGTAACGTATTGATTATAGAACACCAAGTGGGTGTCCAAAATTAAAAAGATTGACAGCGGGTTGATGATCAACACAAAAAAGCACGGCAAGAAAACTATTCAACCCTTTCTGGATTTTAGAGATTATTTAGATGATAAGTTTTGTATTTAACGGTCTTGAAACAAAATCAAAACTTTTTAGATGGAAACGATCATATTTACTGATCCTTCATAAAACGCTTTAAATAAAAGATAAATGAGTACAAATATCTCTTACTTGCTCGGTAGGTACGTTATTCCAATTGAATTTAACCATTCATGTGGTACATATGCCCAAATTACATAGAGCACTAAAAATATGATAAAGTATCAGAAAACTTAGATAAAAATAACAAAAGAACCTAAAATTCAATAATATGAACAAAAACAGTGACACAGTACTGTGATTTACTTACGACTTTCAATTCATAAGAAGTACACACCCACATAATAATGTCATGATCCCTGTTGTAACTAGGCCGCTAACCTATCACTTCACACCTGTTAGCAAAATAACAGACTGGGATAAGCAGATATAACTAACTAGTAGCAATAAAACATACCTACGGAAGACAATGCCAACTATCTCACAGATATACTTATGGATATCTCGTTCTCATCATGACTTTTCAGGAGTTGGTTTTTAAAAATCTCCTTTAGTAGACCTGAAGAATGTAGATGACATAGTCCTGTTACGTAAGAAAGCTGACAAGATGCAGTCTCGGGTGGCTATTTGAGAACGTTAAGGGTGTTTCTTCCCTCAACACCGATGGCTACCAACTTGGCGTGGAGGTCGAGATTGCATGTCACAATGACGCAAGGAACTGCGCTGGTTTGGAGGTTTGATGTTTGAGATCACACAATACAAGAAAGTGCACTGATCGCCTGGATCCCAGTAGCCAGTAGCCTATGCACTGTTTGACTTAACGGTACAGTGGGGACTAAAAGGAATGGTGAAAGTAGTCTTTGTCTCTTTTTAATCTCCACTTATGCACTCACTAACTGCGATCTGGGTCATTTGAGGAATGACTTCTACCAAAAATTTTCTAACCTCCCACTGAAAACAAAACATCTTTGATTGTCGTAGCAGATGATTTCAATGCACAAATGGAATAGGCTAAGCCAGACAGAAACACACTTATGGCACTTTCTGAATCCCAGTGAGACCAAGGGATAATGATGATCACCTGCTACAACTATGTCCAGATAATCATCTACTTCTGGCCAGCACGAAACGAGACATTGTCTGACCTTAACTCAATCATGAACATAAATAAACCATATAGTTTTCAGGTATAGCTGGAGATGGTCAGCGGAAGATTGCTGCCCCTTCTAATATCCGAGGAAACCAGGAAGGTTTTTGAGCTGGTCGTGAGTGTATCGACCAGATATTTACAATTCGCCAGGTTCTGTAACAAAGATACACTTACTGACACTAGCTATATGTACGTCTTGACATGAAGGCTGCATTCAGGTTCATAGACTGAAAGGTCTTCTCGCAGTGTCTCTCACTGAAATGGGTGCCAGGTAAGTACACCAATCTATCGAAGGCTATGCACTCGAATACCCGTGAGTGTGTGAGAGTTTATGGTGACTTATCAGGCCAGTTGTGTACATTGAGTGGCATCCGTTTTTGTTTAACTTTGCTATAGATGCATTTACTGATGTCTTTGTCTCACCGTCTAACTTTACATGGAGTGATCTTGTCAAATGAGACTCTTTAGTACACTTAGAGTAGGTAGATGACATTGTACTGTTATGTGAATATGCTGACAAAATACAGAGTTTTCTGGACACGTCCAGTGGCAGTTTGAGAACGTTTCTCCTCAGCAATATTCAAACTGTTTCTCCAGGACTGATTTGGGTTGGTGCATAGTCACACAATAAGAAGTGAAGTAGTTGAGCGCACTGATCAATCTACTTACCTGAAAAGTCCGATCAGCTTTGTGGGTCAGTGATCGACGAAACCTCTGCACAGATACAAAGGGGTTGATTCTCCCTAACTTACGCCATCTATGCCGCAACCACGATATCTGATTGTCTATTACGGTTCGAGTGTACTGGCGTTGCACTTTGCTGTGTCCCACTTTATTGCTGTGACACATAGTTATTAAAGGCAGGGGATATGAAAAAGCTTCAGATTTCCGACCGCTGTTACCTTTGTAGCAAAGGTCAAGTTTGATGAGACCATTGCATCAGTAATGTAGAGGCCTGGCAAAGAAGATGTATCGACTAATTCACAGTCTATTTCAACCCATAATGCTGACTGAAATGTACATATTAATGATGGATAGTGGCTAGCAGTGTAATCCAAGAAACGCGTTTCGTCTTGTTTGGGACTTGTCAGCTGGGTGTACCTGTTTGCCAGTGAACCATGTCGTTTCCAATAAAGCTGGAACCACTATTTATCATTAATATATGACTGAAACACAAGCAATATCGAGGGATCCGCGCAGGAGCCCATATGTCAAAAGAGACCGACTAATTCGGTCGAATCAACGACGGGATAATACAAGTGATAACAATGGAATGAAGTTAGGTTGGAAAAAGTCAAAGGTATCTAAACTAAAAAGTAGCATTAATCTAGAAAATTCCTAACTGCTGGTCTATGTTTTGTACGGAAGTGTACACTTCTCAGTTAAAGTTGGCGTATCTCCGTAAATTGATGATTGAAGACTTAGTGATATGACTTATATTTAGTCTGTGATGTAGATGCATCTATATGTAATCTTCAGACTAATCACCATATCGCTTTTCGATATTGTTTTACTGATACTTCTTCTCTTCTTATAACTCTCTAATGCTTTTGACTACTTTCTTCCTCATTTCCCTATTTTTCATATTGGTGCCTTCTACATCCTCATGCTGAAGCGAGGTGTGGCAACCTAGATCGTTACGTATTAACACAACGTAGTATTTCATAATTGAATAAATATAAAGAGAACCTACCAGGTGTTAATATGATGAAAAGATTACAATGATAGATTAGATGCACTCCATAAGGAACTGGCCGACACCAAAATATAGATCTTAACGTCAAACATCTAGGTTAAATGAAAAGATGATTCCGACGGAAAACTTAGCTACTGATAGCTGCTACCCTGATGCATTGGTCAGGCTTTCTTATCACAATGACCCAAAGAGCTATCCTGGTGAAATGTTTTTTTCACTCGAGGTCCTACCATGCCAGAAAAGAAAAGTAGCTACCAGTGTAGTGTAATTCAATACACTATGATGGGGGGTCTGAGGGAGAAGTCCTCTTGTTGCTAGATGGATGAGGTGTGACAGCAGTGTTGTATTTCACTTGGATGACCAGCAGTGCCACTATTTAATGCCTTCCCAACCAAAACGAAGGGTTAGAAAACGTTAGCCCCAAACTTACACACACCAACTTCTCGTGAGATGACAATGCTTGCAACAAGGGTCTATGTCGCATTCTATAGCGACACCCAACAATCTTGAAATTGCCAAAAGCCCATGTGTGGTCGGCCTCAAGCAGATGTCCCAGGGGCTCTGAGATCACACAAATATTTTCCTTTCTCAGGTATCTTAAGAAAAATAGCCTCCGATGATATGGTGGGGGGGGGCAGCCCGGAAATGTCAACCGCCTACACGCTCCCAGTAGTACACAAGACTCACCCGAACATAATCTAACCTCCTCAACTCTGTCTCCTCCCTTGCCTTCACCTCCTAATACTAATAGTAAGCCTCTTAAACCTTGTTTAACCTCTTACTCTGCAATCATTGCCAACGATCAAAGACATCGAAACCTCATTTCTAGTTTCCTAAACCCCTTTCATCCAGCTTTCAGAGTCGGAACTCTACGCCAAGTAGCAAAGCAAGCATCGCTCGTCAGAATTCTGGAATTCCGAGCTATGGATCTATGTTGTGTCTGCAAGATACGTACAAAGAATCCGAGTGTAGTTATTAAATTGACGTGACTTGGTCCTAGTAGTGAATCTTCAAAATTCGCCATACGATTATCCGGAGACCCAGTGACTAGCTCTCGTGGACTCGCTGGTTTATGCATAGAATTCAGCTGCATGGCAGAAAGTGGATACCAGTAAACAACCGTCACTGCTTTTCGACTGAATGGATCTGTTAGGACTAGAAAGGATCGTAAGACTGGGTGGTGCGTACTCGTAATCTCGGCCTACGGACCCACTGACTGCAGTTCGGATGATGCAAGGGATGAATTCTATGAGAAGCTGTCAACCTTGCTGCTGCATGCAAAACGTTCAGATGTAGTCATGACGTCAGGTGACTTAAACACTCAAATGGGGAAGCTGAGCAAATCGGAAAGGCATGTTGGGGGGGGGGGGAGGGGGGAGGGGAGGGGAGGTGAATTTACAGAACCCTATGCCAACGAACCGACAACAGTGATCGTCTGTTGCAATTTTGTCCCGACAATCACTTGTTCCTGGTGAGCACTAACTTCAGGCATGAGGAGAGACAGTCTCACATGACGCCTGTCGACTTCAAACCAACGACGAACTTAGATAGATCACATTACTAATGACGTAACAGTTGGAACTCTAATCATGCACCTGTACATCCTCGTGTATATCTGCGCCTTACTGGGTGCATAAAACAGGGGGCATTGAGGTCCATCTGTGGTTGATTGGAAGATGAGGATACCCGTTACGTATTTAGGGAGGAATTAGCTAAGTATTTATGTGAACGTGACAGCAATGCACATCCTGAGGAAACCCGGTGTGATATTAGGTCTGCTGTAGAAACAGTGGTAAAGACAGTTGGTAATCTCTCCTTCCACCCTGTGATGTTAGTTTTAAGGATTTTCACCCTATCCCGCCCTACTGTTTGGTTGTATGTAATTGCATTCACAGCAACCACTGAGATTTTTTTCTAAATTCCTTACCTTCCTAAGATCTACCAATTTTGACCCAGCTAAGTTATTTGTGCTCGGATAGCTTAATTGACCCCGGTTGACTACCTTGAGCACAAAAACCTAGCTAGGTTAAAACTGATAGATCCTATTAAGGTACGGAATTTAGAAAAAACTTCAGTCATAGCTATGCATGCAATCATACACAACCACACAATAGGACGGGATAGGGTGAAAATCCTTAGAAATAAGATAGCAGGGTGAAAGGAGAAATTGGATAACTGAATCTTTGTTTATCGAATCAACAACCAATACCTGCAACAAGAATGACTCAGTACCTGTACTACCCATATCACAAAAGCGGCGAGTAAATCAGAACTACATAAAGGATGACTCAAAGTTGTGCGGTTATCTTAATATGACTATGGACAATAAATTATGTCCGAAATGTAATCCAGTGAACAATACTGTTACATTGTGATAAATCTAATAAATCAATTAAAATGGAATTACATTCTACTATAGTGCACAATTTTTACTCTTACACCAATCTAGCTGGTACTACTTCGAAACGGTTTTTTATCTAACTCATGCACCCAGTTGTAATAATCATTAGCCATCTAGGTGACTAACTAAAAAAAACGTCTAAGCCTTCTGATTGTTGGAGGGATCACCTTCTGACACTTCAAATGTCTGCTTTTTGTTCTTTCAAAACAGAGCCAATAGCCTCTAGAGAAAATCAGTCCTCTTTATAAAAAAGGAGCAGTCAGTTGATGTATTTATGAAACATAATTCAAATGTTTCCAATAGAGCAGTCAGTTCATAGATGCATAGATGGCAGACGAGACGTATGTTCGAAGTAAGAACATTACCTTTCTTCAATAGACTACTATTTCCATTTCATAAATCTAACATGCAGATGTCATTTAGCCATTCGATTTAAATACAGTGTAACTAAATGCGATTCTTTTTCGAAAATACTAGAAGGATGATAACTTTGGCATACGATATGTATCTTAGAAATAATACACGAGAATGGATTAAAAAATATTGTCAATCTAAGCTGAATTTTTAATTTTAAAATGGTCAGTTTGAAAATTAATAGCTCCAAAAATAGCTAAAAATGCCACGTCCTAGCAACACTTTTGTAAAACTTTAGGCAGGTAATGTTGAAGTGTGAGAGTGGTACGTTGCAATCGATAATACTATGTGGGTTTAAGGGATATACTTTTGGATAATATCCGGATTCAATAAAAAGTTACTTTGAAGTGTCTTAAAATTACAGATAAAAACTGTTGACCTGTAAGCAGAGGTGGAAATACATCCCTCACAACTCCGGAAACATAGTACTAACACTTAAAAACATAACAAAACTGCACACCAGACGGAAAACTATAAGTGAGTAACTCACCAAATACAGGAAAGCAAGCGATGTATACAATGAAACCATAAATTGCTCTTTGATCTAAATGACCACGGTCTGAATGAATGTAAGGAGTCTCAATTGAAGACTTTTCTCTGGAGATATACTTCTGCGACATGCCAATTGAATCTACTTATTCAGTAAGATGAAAAAATCCACCAAACTAAAAATGTACATACACATGGAGTAAATATCATGTTCTACTTTAGTTCACTTGATATATGAAGATTATACGTATCAGAATTCCCGATGTACACAGAGAAAAATAACATAGATTTTCTACTGCTAACTTTAAGTGTTCGACTGCTTCTTCACTAGCTTCCAGTTGACCTTCCGAACAAATGTAATGTTGAAGGCTTCAAATTATAACACCTATAATGGTTTCTGGGTAAAATACCCACATATGCGTCTTCAAAAGTAAATATGAAAGGTAAACGTCGTTTAGGACTAAGAATTACTACATATGAATTTAAATGACCTACAATCAAAGTTGCATTTTACTGAACGAACTAAAATCCTTTTATGTTGAAACTTATTCAAATCCAAACTGCTATAATCTGTTCATCAAATCACAAATGTTATAGAATATTTGAATAACTATGCAATGATTTTTATCATGTAAAAATATTTTGTCTTAAGATTAACCAAGAGTTAAATTTCAATTTGTGAAATAAATTTCAAGTCAAAAGTTTAGTGGCTGCTCAGTCAAACATGTTAGTGGCATATTCATATGTTCTGATAGCTTTATATATATAATAATTATCATTATTACTGACATTTCGTGGAAAGTAATTTGCACTGCAAAATGAAGATATCATTTTTGAACGTTTGCCGTTTAATTGATTCGTACTACTTTCAGAACAAACAATCACTCTTCGAATGCCAATTATTTTTGGCGATTAACGAGTTAATTTTAGGTTTTGTAAGTGAAGAAAATTTAACTTAAGAAGATTGTCAGTACAAAAAGTAAATACTTTCCAATTTTTATATCTCCAAATGGAACCAATACCTCTTTAAAACCGATCAGTAAGACCAATGGAGTAATATTTAATAACTGGGTGAGTATTATTTGAATTATGTTGCCGAACTGCAGAGGAATTAGTTCTTCCTCCTTCAAATGCTGGTTAAAAATGTAGAGCTTTTTGTTAAAGAACCTGACCGATGATTGCAGCAAAACGTAATGATTGGGCACGCATATCACGATGACTCGACGAGCCACGCTATTTCAGATACCTGTTCCTTGAGGAAATACCATGTCGCAAAGGTCTGCTGGATAGTAGGAAGATAAAAAGTAGTTACCGTCATAGTTTCAATACCCACGTTATGATAGGGGGTCTATGGGTGAATCCGTACTGCTGGCTGGACGGGAATACGATAGCAATAAGGTGTTCCTTACACATAACCACAAGTACCACGCTCCGTTCCTTACCATCTCTAATGATTTAAGCTAGCGAAAGACCATTCCTACTTTACTATACCGCACTGCCGATTTCACACTGGAGCTTTTAAAGCCGCAACTCCATATCAAGTCGCACAACAAATATCTCCTGCCAAAATTCCAGAATCTTGAATCATGGATATACGTTGTGTTTTTAGGATACATATAGGACCTAAATGCGGTTATTTCCTCGATTTTGCCTGGTCGATGTGGCGAATCTGCAAGAGTCAACCTGCGAATATTCGAGGATTCGATGGCTAGTTCTCTTGAACTCCGTGATGTAGCATTAAGCTGTATAGCAAAAGGTGCACTACTCGACTGGATGCTAGTCGACAGCTCTCTATGTTCAGTTTGACTGAAAGAACCTCTGAGAACTGGAAAATACCATGACATTCATCGATACGTATTCGGAGTATCCTCCTACACACTCATCGACTGTAGTTTAGATGGTACAAACCATGAATTCTATCAAAAGCTGTCGTTTTGCCACACCAGGTGAAACATTAAGACATAGTTTGAGTAGTTCGCAAATTAAACGCTGAATCAGTGAAGAGGAGTCAATCTAAAAGGTATTTTGGAAGTATCTACGGTACCTCTTGCCAACGAACCAACAACGGTGATGGCCTCTTACAATTTTCTTCCGGCGATTACTTACTTCTGGCCAGCACTAGCTGCATGCATAAAGAGAGAATACTGTAATTGAGATCCATCGCCATTAAAACAAAGGCGAAGATGCTCAAGGTGCATTGCTATAAGATTGCCGCTCCTTCTGGAGTACATGCTGAAGGTGTGATCATGCATTAGTACGGCCACGTGCATATTTCCCCCCACCTTAGTGGTCTCTGGAGACAGGAAGCAAAAAACCTTTTGTCTGATAGACTAGCAGATAAAAACACCAAGTGTGCATTTACAAACGAGATGTTATTTGCCTGAACATGGCAGCTAGTCTATTACACATGAAGACTGGTGTAATATGCAACTTACAACAGTGACAGCGGTAAAATTAATAACTTACATCCAACGGTTAACAAAAGGCAGTAGGCTTCGCAACCTCATCCAAACTGACTAAAACGACAAGGTTCATTCTGGCTGTCTCCGATCATAATACAAAGCGCAAGCAGATTAAATCCCCATTGATTAAGAGGTTGCTAAATGATCAAAGGCAGTAGAGGGGGCGACAGCAACACAGATGGAGAAGACATTAGCGTTGGGTGAAACCTGATAACCATTTAGGCCTATTTAAGATACCAGCAAGAAAAAGATGGTGGTTGTTGAAATCGTCACCGGAAAAGAAGGGAATGGTAATATCGTCTCAGGACAGAAGGCTAGAACGTTGAGTAGAACACTCCGAAGCGCAGTTCAGGTGGCCAACTGCAAAGCTTCAGTTGCTCAGCATCCAGTCAGAACCCGAATGGGATGCAGATGTCGGTCCTCCACTTCTCTTCGAGGTTGAGGAGTCTATATCGAGCCTAAAACGGTGCAAAGCACCAGGACCTGACGGTCTACCTCCTGAAACTTTCAAGGATAGAGGTAGGAAATTACCGAGCAGAGTAATGGCTATACTAGATAGGATATGAGAATCAGAGGTAGTCCCGTTAGGCTGGTCTATTCCTCTGGTCATTCCACTTTATGAGAAAGAAGAGAAGTCCTCTTGTGATAGCCATAAGGGAATCAGTTTGACTGACATTGTGTCCAACATCCTAGCATCCACAGTTATAAAACGCCTAACTGGAGCTCGAGAACAGCAAACTCGAGAAAACCAGGCAGGTTTCAGACCTGGATGAGGGTATACTGGTCAGATTTTCACCATCCGACAGGTTCTGGAACACAGGCATACCTATTGGAGGCCGACACCAACAATATTTCTGGACATGGAGGCGTCATTTGACCCTGTCAATCTTGACGTGTTATGACAGTGTCTGACTATGATGGGAGCACTAAACACGTATGAAACGCTTATCCAAGCTCTATTCAAACTTAAGGAGTTATCACCAGAGTCGAAAACAACTTGTTGTATCCTCTAGAGACGCCCCATAGTCACTGTTCGTATCTTCGTTACAGATATACTAATGGACATAACTTTAGATGCGTCTGACTCCACACAGATTGATCTACTATACAGAGGTCATCTGGTTGACTTGAAGTACACAGACAACATTGTCCTGGTAAATGAAAATGCTGTCTAATTGTGGGGTCTTCTGAACGCGTTGAATAGAAATCTGAGTATGTTTGGCATTCGTTTCGCTGACACCTGTCAAATGTAAGATGATGCTCCACAACTGGTATGCTGCAAGTACTCCCAGTTTATTAGTCGGTAGTGAAGTGGTGGGATGTGTCAACCACTTCACTTACTTGTGGAGTTGCATCAGCTCGAGTGGGCTGGTTATTGACGGAAACTTAGCCCGTTTGGCATTTAACAACTTCCGTAATCGGTGGCACCGGTGAGATATCCAACTACCTATCACAGGACGAGTGTACTGAACCACTGAAGTCCGTTCTGTCCTGTTGTACGACTGACCGTTAAAAGTCGAAGATATGAAGCGATGACAGGGTAGGGTTTCGATTCCAGACGTCTTAGTAAGATTGCTCGCATTTGGCAGGATCATCGTGTGAAAATTCCTGACGTCAGACGTAGGGTGGTAGGCAAGACAGGCAAGTCAATTAATGCCGTTGTGAACCATCATCGGCTGAGATAGCTTCGACATGTACTGTGCATACCGAGCCACCGACTACCTAGATGTCCCTTGTCGGGGGAAACTAAACTAGACTGACAAGGGGTGCAGAGTAGCCAGATCAAGATATGGCACTAGTCTATGAAGTCTCTTACTGCTGGTGAGTCGTGTGGGGCGAAGTAGACTGTCTAGTTGAGGTCCACGAGACAGATGGAATCAGTGGTTGAGGACTATCAGTGACATCGGTCACAATGGCGCAGATGTTCTAAAGCTTGATTATTCACACTAACCTTTATCTTCAGAATGTTTATTCTTTAACAATACTCTATCTTCTTTGATATCACTTTTTTATCCACCTGTTTTTCATATACTACTGTGAAGTGTGGGAACTTGAGATGATGTACTTGTGTGCAAAGTCCTGCGTTGATTTTGTCAGTCAGTCACACTTCTGCTCTAACTGGTTATTGTTTCGGCTATCCACTTCTCTCATACCGGTTCATAGTTGCGACCTAATGCTAGTGTTTTTAATTGGGACTTCTTTTCTGTATTTGCTGGTGGTCTTTTGATGAGTTTTCGGGGTCAATATGTAGTCCCGCAAGTGCTTCAACAGACGTCTGACGTTCAGGTAAAGATCCATTCGATGTGATCCTGTTTCGAACCGGAACTGTTAGATGATGTCTATCAGTGTCCAGTCTCTTTCCTCCTTGAGTAAGGCTCTCTTAAATGTATATATAGGGAACGTTCGGCTTGTCTATTATATTGCGGGTGATAGGGTGGTGAAGGTGTTCGATTGCGTTATTGAAATAGTATTCTTGAAGTTGTTGCGATGTGAGCTGAGGTCTGTTGTCATAGACCATGGATTTTAGTAAGCATGACAGGAGACAATAGTTGAAAGGGTTTGAGATGTTTTTGGCCGTTTATTGTTCCAATGAAATCTATGTGCACACATGACCATAGGCGATCTAGTTGCGCATGGCCGCGGGGGGGAGAAACGGGTGGTAGGCGTTT